TAAAGTTAGAATCGGTCAGTCAGAAGTCAGAGATTTTAACAATAAAATTAATATGCGAAATTTAAACAATTAAATTTTAAATCAAATTTAATGGAATGAAATATTTTCAAACCATTCGCTGACCATGAAAAATAACACATATCCAGGTCTGTCTGATTAGACGCATGTTTAGTCACCGATGCTATGAAACAGTGTATCACCTTCGGTGTTCAACTGAATAACGTCTCTCCTGGATTTGCCTTCAGCAATGTCCCAAATGCGAAGTGTTTTGTCCCATGAGCAGCTGGCTATCGCGGACTCAGTTGGACAGAAACACACGTCGCTGACCGGAGCCTCGTGGCCACTTAGCACCTAACATGGAATTAATGCACAACGAAAATCGCACTCGTATACAAACGATACCTCAAGCAGTCTTCCGGTCTGCACCGACCATATGAATATGTCGAACGTGTCCTGTCCTGAAGCGCAGACAAGATCACCGGCAACATCAACGGCAACTGAACTCAACTGAACTGGTTGCGGTGTGACACACGTACGAAAGTTTCGATACCTTAAACAAAACTTCAGGGTAAAGTAAAATCAAGTTATGCGAGTGATGTGGTTATCTGTGGCTGTGTACATCAATGAAGATGTTAATCAAAAGCTGTCAACACAAAAATAAGAGAAATGTATATACGAAAAGACGGTATATGGAGTACTGACTGATTTGAGTCACAACCACAGTCACTTGTTTTGTACAAAGTCATATTCAACAGCTTACATCCTGAGATGTGAGTTGATTCTTCGACTGATAGCGCAAACTTTGTCATTCTCTAGCAAGAACTGTAAGATTCAGAGATAAACGAGTATCCGAGAAAAACGCATATGACAGAATTTAGAAAGATCCGCCTTGGAATTTCATACGGACAGTTAGATGTTTTACGATCCCTCTGATGGTCCTGGCTTATTTGAAGTTAATACTACATCGAGAAATTCCATTTTTCAGTAACATAAAAAATATTAATGCAAATATGGCACAATCAAGAAGCAAAGAATAAAATATACCTACTAGTGTGATAAAACGATACCGTAAACAAAAGATACCTTTTGAGATCAAACGCACGCACTGTTCCATCGTAAGAGCACGACAAAATCGCCTTTCCACTTTGTGTCCAAGTAACGCCAGTTACAGCATCTGTGTGTTCAGTGAAAGTCGCAAAGCATATACCATCTTGGATATTCCACAGTTTTACCTACCAATGTACAAAATGTAAAACCACAAAGCTCATGCTGTTGCTTAACATAACGCAAAACAATCACAGAATTTCCTCTGCTCAGGTGTTGTTTGCCATCTCAAATTTGACTTTCCATCTGAATTTAAAGGCATAGGGCATAATTAGTTCAGTTATATCATGAATAATTACCTAGACAGTTTTAATGCAATATAAATAAAAAGCTGTTAAACAGAGTAAGGATAGTGAGACAGATAAATGCAGCATTAAACATTAGATGAACAAAGAATAAGAGAACGGGCGAACGAAGTTTTCAGGCACAATGGTGATAGTTATGAAGATTCAACGCTGAAGGACCGCTGAAGAGCCTACAGGTGGGAAAACGAACCGCAGCTGCAAACAACTTCAGCAACAACCGAATTTACCCTGGGAAAAGCCTTACTGACACATGGGCCAAAACGATGGCATCATTCTGTCATCCCACAGACCTCTGCACCGCACTGTGAATAAATAGATAGTTTTGCTAGTTCACAGTATGACTCCGTAGCCATGAACAAATTACCTCATCTCAGAATTACGCAGCTTCCATATTATTTACATACTGTACCACAATCAGAGTTTTTAGAGTTGTGGTTTATTATCAGTTACATATAACGACATAACAATATTTACGACATTTAATATGCGTATGGCACTCAAATAGTTAAACTCCATAACCAGGACATTCATTTAGCCATGACATTTATTTAACCGTTAGCGGAAACTGGCTGATTTTAAATCTACTTTATGCACCTTACATATAAATAGCAACATCATATCTTAAATTATACTTGCACAACCTTAGATAAGTTAGGCATGTCAGTGAGACGCAGAGGCTATTTTACGCAGCACAGTGAATATGTACATGCATGTGTGCAGTGCACAAACAGAATCGCAACAATGCATTAAATGATTTTCTATGGCAATAGAAGCACGGAGGCGGTGCGGTTATAGAGCGAAAACTCCGAAGATAATATGCATATAGTACGAATTATATAGAGAATACGAATTAAGGATGAGCTTTCGGCCCAAACGGCTGTCTAAGTAAATTTCTGGTAACAAGCTTGAAAAGGTTTGTCCACTGCGTTCAGAGTTCGTAAACGCACATCTTTGGTTCGAAGTGTCACAAGAGCTGCGGACCTCAACTACATAAGTCAACCCGGAACACCTTGATGAAAGCTCGTGAGAGACGAGCCGAAACGTTT